TTATTGTCTCAGTCAGTCTTTTTAGTTGGATATGACATTTCAGAAAATAGAGGAAGAAGTTCAGAAATAATAAAGAAATGTCAATTAATTATTACACTCAAATTAATTGATGATTGGCAAATTGTCAGTAAACTCAGTTTTAGCATTAATAATAATGTTAATACCTATAATTAAAGCAGTTATTTGTATGTAAGGGCAGATAAAAAAAACTACTGTAACAGACAGCAGTGCACGTCCAGCACAGTCCAGCCCACCGCTTGGACCAGGAGACACATGATGAATGGGCTGAAAGTGACATTGCACCAGTTTTCTCTGCAGTCTCATTATTCTACAAATAAACCTATGACATCAGGAGAATAAGAAAGATGATATAATCAATAAAGAAAGGTTTACACAGTGGATTTAAGATTCTCTGAATATTGACACTGCAATGTTTTGTCCCCACCTAACAATACATGTCTTATAGTCTGTGTATGTATTCATCAAGGAGCATGTGTTCCTTCAGTATTAATGGCGAGGGGGTGGGAGCACTGAAGATTCATCTCGTAATCCTACTAATCCTACAGGCTAAGATCTTAAATTGCTCCTGCTCCTTCTCAATGGACTGAGCATTTCAATGTGCTCACACACACATGGACACACAGAATTCCAGGCGAGCGGACGCTCCAATTAGTACTCATCAGGCTTCCTCACACCGACGCAGAGCGATTCTGGGCCAGGAGCAGTCCCTCGGAGAGCCACCTAGCCGAGAGAGGAGGAGCAGGAAAAAAAGACACATTGGTGTATTTATAGAAAAATGAGGCCTCACAATAGCCCTTTTTGGAGAGAGAATTATTAAGGAGCCGAGGTGCGCGGGTGCACGCGTCCCAGTTTTCTGATTAACACTGTGTGCAAGCAGGCTGGCCCCAGGATGAATCAGGGATGAGACGCAGGACCAACTCCTTGACGGTGTCACAGAGGCTGCACTGGCTTTTCATGCACACTCACCCATTGCTCATGAGGAGGCTGCTGTGGTTTCAGGGGAGGTAGAATGGGGCTGTGTCTTGACCTTGTCACGCTTTCTGTCTGACTTTGGGGTTGTGGGGTGATCAGAGGGGAGGTTAATTTTTTTTATTGCATATTTTTGGTGCTAGCAGGCCACCTGCTATTTTGACAAATCAAGATGAAGAAGTTTTTGCAAAACAAAAAAGGCAGATACTCTTTTCGGCAGAACAAACGAGGCTCTCGGTATCCATCTAAAGATTTCTGTAAGTCTCTCGCCGGTTTTGTCAACTGTGTGAATCCTGCTGTGCTGAGGCTTTTAGAGGCTGTTGAGCATCATTAGCCTCCAGCTGAGCCTGAGGACTTGTGTATTCTGTGTATTGCCTGATTTGTTTAATGCTGTATTCTGTCTCTTAACCTGCTTAAAACTCATCAGTGCATTCAGTGGTGTGCTCCCTCTCGCTTTGCTGCCTGATTACTGTTCAACAGGCAAGACTTTTACTTCTGTCTCTCCAGATAATTAAAGTCACGATCTCTGCGACGCCTTCATTTGATTGGCTGCCGTGGAGTTTGTGAACCAGGTCAGGGACGGCTGAGTGTGTCACGGTTCAGGGTAGAAGGTTACAGAGCTGCTCACAATAGCACGACTTGAGACGCAGGAGGATGGAGACAGGGAACAGTGGCGTCAGTTTGGATCTCTGTTGAAATATGCAAAGGGTGGTTACATCTGAGTGTGTATTTGCAATGCCAGTAGATTTGAATGCATTGGCTGCTGTGGGTAAGTGATTGTATTTGAAGATGTGTGTGTGTTCATTTCTCAAATCTTAAATTCTACCTTCACCTTTTCGATCTTTTAAGTACTCAGCATGCCGACGTCCAATCAGGGCTGGCCTGAGGATTTCGGCTTCCAGCTCGGTGGGAATGGACCCAGCTACATCCTGTCCGTGGAGGAAGGCAGCAGTGCCCACCTGGCCGGGTTGCAAGCGGGGGACCAGGTCCTGGAGATCGAGGGCCACAATGTATCGACATTGGGTCCGCAGGCCGTCGTGGCCATCGCCCAGACTCAGAAGAACATCCCTCCCAGTATCGGAGTGGTGTCCCGTATACAGCAGGTCTTACAGCGTTTTAATTCATCACAGCAATACAGCATGCGTAGGTTAATGCCTGTGGAATTACAGGTAACGCTATAATCTGGTCATTTTGATGGACTTCAGGTTTTTTTGTTGTATTACAGATGGACATCATACCAGGTCCTGATGGTCGCTTTGGGTTCACCATCGTTGGAGACTGCCCCCTGCTCGTGGAGGACTGCTCACCTTGCTCGCCGGCCGGCCGCGCAGGTCTGAGGGCCGGGGATTATGTCATGGAGGTCAACGGGATCCCCGTCAGGCAGCATGAGACGGCCGCAGCGCTGATCAAGGCCTCCCAGGGAAGGACGCTCCGTCTGGGGGTGCTGTGCCTCGGCATGAGGCAGAAACACAGCATCAGCATAGAGGACAGTCAGATGGGAGGAGACGGGGCGAGGCTGGACCGTAAACATAAAGCCCTGGAGTTCAACAGGAAGGTACGTCATAAAACACACAGGCTGGGTTCAGGTTTATTCCTTCACCTGGTCCAGTTGAGTTGGGGAGTTTAAAGGGCATGAAATTCTACAATTTAATGAAGTTCTACTTGAACCCCAAACTTTCTGCCAAAGTTCAAACAGTTTTGTGTGTGTGTGTTTTTGTGTGATAACTTTCACTGGTTTAAAGTGGTCGAGATTCATGTGGAAATAGGGAATGTCGAGCATTTCTGTGCACCAATCAGAATTCAGCGATGTTGTGTTTGTCTTGAGAGAGTTGTGGGTTGCCAAGGAGAAAATATTGTCAAAATGATCAAACCATGCCGAAGTAGAGTTGTCTCTGGGTGTGTATGTATGTACTTGTACACACACAGTATCTTTTTGAGGACCAGTTTGAGCCTTTAACATACGGGTGAGGACATTTTGGCCGGCCCTCACTTTCTGAGGATTGGGGTTAGGGTAAGGCATTTCGTTTTGATGGTTAAGGTAAGGGTAAGGGGTTAGGGATAGTGTCCTCACTATATAGACGCACAAACATGTGCGAGCGTGTGTGCATTAAAGTCAAATTAAAACACCTACAAAGGTTTTTTTTGACTACAACTTATTTAACATGGATTTTTAAATGTTGTATTTAAGGCCAAAAACCACAAACCTGTGTGTGTGGAATTTCATCCATGTGTTAATTCATGTGACCTGGCATCGTCTTGTCCTCAAACGTCTCCATCAGGTGGACCAGATTCTCGGTGATGAACCTGAAGTGAAAGAGAAACTCTTCAGTGTGCTGAAGCAGTACGCAGCAGAGAAGAGAGTGGAGTGGTTGGCCTCTGCTCTGCCAGAGATACTCACCACTGACGAACATCGACAGCTCATCTCCAGCATCAGGTACAAGCCTGAGGTTTCACTTCCATTTACAACGAATTACATAACATGGTATAGAATCAACTGAATAGACTGAGGAAACCTGCATTTTCAGTCAAGAGGAAAAAAGGTGGTCAATTACTTCTGACTCAATGTATCATCCTGAGAACTCATCACATGTTACATCCTTCTATTTCTCCCCATATTTCCTGTCATTCTGGAGATGTTCCAATTCCATTCTTCCCCTCCTGATACCCAGCATTGTTGTGTGGCCTGACTCAGGCTACACCTTTGAAATACAGACAGAGAATGCTCAAAACATTCTGAGATTGCTAGTGTTGTATTTGGCAACACTACTGCCATCCGTCGAATCTGAAATGTTTTATACGGTCACTTTTTTACTTGAAGAACTTTCCAGTGTGAAATATTGTCAGTTTGCTTACATTCTGGCTGCTCTGACAACAGTACTCCCCGGTTCAGTACGGTGCAACTGCTGTTTGCGAGTTGTGAAGAAGAAGTGATATTTGGGAAAAGAAAGTTGCAGTTTTATCTGGGTGAAACTAATATCCTCTAAAGATGTGCTATCAGATTGGTACATAGATTCACACACTCACCGATGCCTGACCTGGTATTTTCAGCAGTATTGGAGACATTTCTAATGCTGGTATTGGAAACGGAACATCTCTGATTCTGTGCAGGTCCATTAAACCCAATCCACCACATGCCCCACAAAACCTTAAAAACATGCTTAATCTCCCCACAACAGGCTGTGATACAAAAACATAAGATTTCATTCAAAATAATCACATAAACAGGCTTTTCCTGTTGCTCATTCTGACGCAGGATGGATTAGAGTGGGGTCTCGTCCACTGCCAGGCATTATAAAGCTTCACTTTAGGTTTAGGTGGGGCCCCATCTGCTACCCGCTCTAAATCCACAGTGACCCTCCAAGTCCCCTAAAGTGTCATCATCCGTGTTAGTGAAACCGAGTGACTCAACTGACTCGGTGGGACCTGAGCTTAGAGGTTTTTTTAGCAGTAAATGAGGATTGGCAATGTGAACTCGCAGCATGGAGTAGTGTGTGTGATGACGAGCCACAGGCAGATTTAGATGAGTGCTCTCTTCATGAAAACATCTTTCAGTACGGGTGGCCGTGCTGCTCTGTATCCACCAAGCTTAGACTACACCCAACAGGTTTTTGATGGTGTTTCCATGAGTCTATGAGATGGAGCAGCGCCAGGTAATTAAATGTGTAAAACCAGTCAGACAGCCAGAATTACCTGTCTTTGCATGCGCCAGAACGACTAGAACGCCTGCCTCTCTCTAAATCCCCAGACAGTTTGTCCACAGATTGCACTCTCCCACAAACTGAGCCAATCAATCCTTTTATTCTCTTACTACCCTGGTGTCCTCCACTACTACTACTACAGCTCATTTCAGTGGTATTAATACACTGTAAGAAGGCTTTCCAGCAGGAGAGGTTCAATGATGAGGTAGTTGCAACATTTCCCTGCAGAGACGTGAGGCAAACCACGTTTTTCTGCCTTAAATTGGTCCTGAATAATTCAAACACTTCCTGGCGTCATTGGCGTTTTGTATTACGAAGAGCGAACACCAATAATAACACGTCTCTCTGCATTTTTATTTCTCATCCCCCACAACTCTTCCGTCTCTCTCTCCTCTCGCAGTCTCTCTCTGACGTTTTTTTCCCAATGTTTTGTTCTGATGGATCTTCTTATTATTGTGCTGAGAGCTCAAGGCTGTTCCCCACTCTCTCTCTCTTCCTCCATGTGGTGACAGTTCTCCCTTGACACTTGGTAAAGGCAGCCTCCTGCTTGCACCAAGGTCCCATCATACAAGGAGCACAGTGTAGCAGTCTGTACAACTGTGATCACTAGATGTGTGTTGTAGATTGTGCTGGTTGTGTTTAGATTTTTTTTTTTTACTTGCGAGCCATGGGTGACAGCTGAGACCATGAATTGTCTGGGGTGAGTACATCTTTTTATTCTTCTACGAAATGTGGTTGTTTGGTAGCCTTCGAGGGGGATTGGAATTTCTGTCAGCTTTATTAAGTCTGACACCTGCAGTATTTTTGCCAAGTGCCATCAGTGTGATAATCTATGCAAAGTAGGAGGCGTGTGAATATTTAATGAGATCTGATTCAGTACATGACGATAGCAGCTGCTGTTGTTTTGTAGATAAATTTAAATTGGATCTGTTCCCTGGTTGTTTTCTAAGATCTCTTACTGCCGGAGCTTTGAATGTATCATTTACTCATTCAAGTGAACCTGTACCAGCATGTTCATGCAGTTTCATGTGAGGTGACCACACTTGAGTTGCTGCATACAGCTTGTTGTAACAGTTACCAATGCATGTGTAGCACAATAACGACTGAAATCATTAGGATGAGTGTGTGTGTGTGCTCTGCATGCGTTTGAGCATGATGACTTCAGGATTAAATGAATATTCCTTTAAAACTTTTATCTGCCTGTATTATACTGAGTCTGTATCAGCTCTGAAAACAGCAGGAAGGTTTTACTATGTGTTTAAAAGCAGATGGTCTAATGCATTAACAGCTAAAACTAGTGAACCAAATCATTTCACTATTTACAACTGCACAGTGAGCATTGTGCCTAATATCAGAATAAGAGTGATCAGAACTCGATAACGTTTTTTCTAACAAGTCACAATACTGCAGTTACCAGCACGTCCTGAAATTCACTACATGTTGTGCTCTATTGTCTTTTACAATAGTGCTGTTAATGATGGTGTTTAATCTTAACTACAAAAGTCAGCTGCCAGAGCATCTGGAACAGAATGGAGTGGCTGTGGCTCAGGGGTTAGAGCGGGTTGACCACTAACCAGAAGGACTGTGGTACGATCTCTTTGCGTGTGCCAAGATGATAAACCCACTGTGTGATTGACAACATGCTGCACATTGTGAATGGGCAAATGGCCAAACTGTAAAGTAAAGCACTTTGAGTTGTCCTCATGATTAGAAAAGCTTCATATACATACAGACCATTTACCACAGACAGCACTGAAGCCTGTGCATTCATAATTTCCATTAATACAAACCCATTTAATTTATCTTTAGGATGGTTGCATCGGAGACAGCTGTATGTACCCAGCAATAACTTATCACGTTGATAACCTAAAGATCATCTATTGCACTTTATTTTAACATGGAAGATTTGAACGTCCAGTTTGGTTTGAATAGCTGGTGATTCCGGGTTTGTTCAGCAATCTTAAACCCTGTAGCATTATCATCAATTAAACCATCAGTAATATATATGATCTTCAGTCATGACCTAGAATCCTGTCTAGTCTGTGTTACATAACCTATTATTATATTTCTCCTCTCTCTATTCCTTTTCTATATTTTCTTTTTCATTTTTTATTTTTAATCAGCCTCCCTTTTATGACCATGTTCATACTTTGATCACAAGTAATTCTTTCTAGTCTACAGTGTGTATACAGTATATCTGCACAATGGATCAGACATGGCTGACCATTTTCACTGCTACATCTACTTTTGACAAGTTCCTGGATACAGACCAGCAACCTGCTGTCTTAAGTGGAATAAAGTGACCCACCACTGTGAACCACTTTCTGTCAGTTTAAAAAAAAGAAGGGAAGAGTCTCACACACACACATTATTACGTCATCTCTACATGTATTTAGACGTAACGACAATCGCACAGTTAAGACTCCGTCCCCTGCATTTGAGCCACATCAGGACACTTGAATCGAAATGAGGTCTAGTCGTTTTCTGCTTGTCATTCCTCCCTTCTGAGAAATACATCCCTTCGTCCCCGCTTGCTTCCTCCTCCACAACCCTCCTTTCAGATAATTATAGATCTCTGTTCTCCATAAACGAGGTCAAATCAGAGTACTCGCTCAGTTTCTGAGAGTTGATGTGAAAAACTTTTTTTGTGATGAGGCGGCTGTTATTTGAACACGTGGCTGTGTTCTGGATAAACATCTCATTTAAAAGAGCAAACAACAGACAGGCACTGTGTCCATGTGGCAGGAATTGATGACAAATAGCAGGGGAGAAAAAATAGCAAACAGAGAGGGACCGTGTGGGCTGCTACTCCCACACCACTACAGAACATTTATTTATATCTCAGGAATATGCTCATTGTCACTCGGAGTCTTTACTCCAGCAACACTGTCTCAGACTGCAGTCACATACAAGTGCCCCTCACACCTTATCAGAATCTGTAGAGACAGTGACAGCGGTCTAAGAATACGTGGCCTATATCTTTTACTGCAAAGATTTGTCCCAAAAATGAGATAACGTGGCAGCTTCTCTGAAACAAATCATAGCAAAATAATTAAACTCAATGTTTCATGTTTTTAAGATTGTAGGAATCTGTTGTTCATAGACTTCTACGTCATTATGGCCTAAAACACCTTTTGAACTGCAATTGTGCATTTTTAGGAGGAAGGCAATATGTTGGATAATGTTTTGGTTTGTTATTAGGCCTCACAGGTCTTTCTGTTCTCCCTGTGTTTGCATGGGTTTTCTCCTGAATGACTGTTTGTCTCTGTATGTTGGCAACCTGCGATGCTGTCTGCTATGTCTGCTGGGTTTGGCTCCAGCTCCCCCATGAGGTTTAGCGGTAAAGATAATGGATGGATGTTCCCAGACAAAATGATGTGGGTGAAGTAAATGTAAAGAAAAAATAACAAATTGCAGGTTCAGTGTGTGGAATTGTGTGATATCTACTGTGGTAATTGCATGTTGTAGCTGAACACCCCTCACCTCACCCTCCCCTTCCAAACATGAAAAAGAACCTGAGGTGGCCTTCAGGTGTTTAGTTTGTTCAGTCTGGACTAACGTAAAAAAAACATGGCAGCCTCCATAGAGAGGACCCCCTCGATGTAAATATAAAGTATTTCAATATAAAGGGTCTTTTCTGGGGTAAAGAAAACTACATTTCATACAATTTAGATGAAACAAACTAGTAAACACATCATGAGAATTATTCTCCATTATATTTTTGCCAATAGATCCCTTTCACCTCAACCTTTCACACTGGACCTTTAAAAACTGATGAGGCAGAGGTGAAGAAATTCTGATTTTGGGGCCTCTGGTATGAGTCACACATCTTTAAATCACAATAAGTCACACTCCCCCAAATCCTACACTTCCCATAATGCAACACACACCTTTCTAACTCTACACCACCGGTTTGTAACAGGCTTTCTGGAAAAGGTTTTCTCAATAAGAGAGGAGATAACCTCAATGAAATCACCGTGACATTGAAAGAAAGAAAGAAAGAAAGAAAGAAAGAAAGAAAGACAGAAACTGTTTTGTTGGTAGTCAGTCTTGTATTGTTGTGGTGCTGAACGGAGAGCTCCTGTGCAGCGACTGGTGTTGTTCATTCAAACAACCACTAGGGGAGAATCACACATGTATGTTGTTTAAAAGATTTATTCTGTCTGTAGCTTATCTACTTTTTATTTCTGGAACATTCATAATTTTCTGACTTGTTAACTACAAGATGAATGTGAATTTATTCATGTTAAAAAGAGTATCAGCGTTTTACATGTTGCTGTGGGAGTTTTCAAGTAGGTTATTAATTGTTGTTTGTTGGTCTGTAGCAGGATTACACAAAAACTACCAACCAGTTTCATGAAAACATGGTGGAGGGCTGGGGTATGGGCCAAGGAAGAACACATTATATTTTGGAGCAAATTCAATTAATGGGGCACCTCCAGGATTTGAACATTGGGACATTTCTGTGAATATTTCAGTTCTTTATGAACAATATCAGGTAAATGTAGAGTTCATACGTCCATGAACAGGTGAGATTTGGGTGCAGATCCGGATAATTATCTGGATGGCTAATCAGCCTTGGCGGAGGGATCCTCTTTCCAAGTTAGTTAAGTGAGCTCCTCGTACATATGAATAGTATGTTATCAGAAGATGTGACCTTTTTACATTCTACACATAATTCCGACTTTTATTATTGTGTGCTACACAAAAAGAACAGCACAGGGGCTGCTCTATATGTGCCTGAATCCGTTTTATTAAAATGCTTAAACAACACTGCATAATGAAAACAACCACAGTCAGGCCTCATGTTTGTCTCTCTCTCCTTCTCTCTGTACAATAAACGTGTCCTAATTGCTTTACTTCGCTGTCAAAGTTGTTTTCATGTCGCTTAATTAGCTTCTTGTGGACACGTTCAGTGGTAGCTATTATCTCCCCCTTGTCACCATCAGCACGTTTGTTGCTAATTACTCGACTGGTGCTGTTTTTCACAGACGCTGTCTGCTGGTGGCTGATTCATCTGATCAGCGGCAAATCAGCGCGTCAGAGCTCAACAGACTGGTGTAGGTGGGAATCAGAATCAGTTTTTTGCATCTCAGTTGGATCTCGACGATTCTGTGATTCAATAAACACGGAACCAAATAATTAACTTCTGACTCGTTAAGTCTCATTAAACACTGCGGTCTAGTTTTGTAAAGAAAAGTTTCATATTTTAGGAATTTTGCCTTCTGGCCAGCACTCATTTATGTTTAGTGGTAAATATTGAGCTACAGCCACCAGTTGGTGAGCTTAGCTTATGATATAAAAACTGGAAATACTGCACGTGGATATTACCAGTCTGACGTCTGAAGGTAACAGAACCAACTGACTGCAACTCTTTTTTGACAGAGCCAAATATATATTTTTTTACTATGCAAGATGAAGTCTGTGGCTTCATATTTACCACACAGGTAGATATGAACTTGCCCATTTAATAAGTAATAAAGTGTATTCAAAATATTTGACAAAACAATGTCAAACTATTACATATATATGATATGAAAAAACTCTATGTTCAGGTTGAGGACAATTAGCAGCGCTCCCACTCAATGAGATAACATAAAATAATCATTTATTAGTCCCACTGCAGGGGAATTAGCCAAATGAATGATGTGCCCAATGTGGGAGCAATTCTCTATTATCAGGTTGTGATAATGAATTCATTCCACATCTTATGAAACTGTTGGTTTCCAGCTGGAGATGAATTAGTTAATTTGAACAACTTTAAACCTTAAAAGTCACATCTTATATTTTGTGAACATTGTGGTGTTGTGGTATATTGAAGCTACTGACAACAATATATATATATATATACTGTGTGTGTGTGTGTGTGTGTGTGTGTGTGCCTTGTCTCTTGGCAGTCATTCTGATCACTTGAATGAAACCTTGTGTTCTATTGACAGCTTGTGTGTGCGGGCACAACTCATTTTCTTTTGCTCTGCTGCTGTGTAGTCAGCGTCCAGCTCTCCATGTGACACAGTACACACTCAGAGTTTGAATGAAAGTAAAAACGTCATCAGCTGAGCAGGACAAAGCTTTGAGGGAAACACACAACTGTTAATTATTTGAATTATTATATAGGTCTGAGGTCAACGTGATGATGTCAGTTTTTCCTGCTCTGCACTCACAATGACAAAGTGACACAGAGGTGAGGCATGGACGGAAGTGTGGGAGGGAGAGAGAGAGAGAGAGAGAGATATTCTGTAGATGCATAAGGAGAGAGAGAGAGAGAGAGGAGAAAACCCATGCTCGCTCACTCCCACACCTTTTTTCTCTTGCTGTTTTCCGGCTCTGGTACCTCACGCTGCAGCAGTGAGACTTCAGCAGGCAGCAAGTGACGCCAAGCTCCTCTCACTGTCTCTTTATCCTCAGAGAAAGACCTTTTCTCCCTTGCCTCTCAATCAACTTCTCTTCTTTTTCTCTCCTCTCTGGGGAAAACAGCCACCTCCAGTGGGAAAGACACATCATCTGTCCATCAGAGGCTTTTTTCTTCTCTTTTCTTTTGAATCTGAGTGGTGAAGGAGGAAGCCTGTTGATTTGAATAAGCGTGGACTTGGATGGTGAAGATTATTTCAGTAGCAGTCGGGTCGATGATCATACTGGATGTCAGACTTGCTCCTGTTATTTCATTGGAAATCTGAGATTATTGCTTATGGGCTGTTGGCTTTCAGAATGATTGAGGTGGATCTGTGATGTAGATTCAACCTCTTTCTCTTTTTCTTCTAAGGCAACTCTTGTGGACAAAAAAAACTTACCACCCCTCATTATTTCCCTCACATGCCACCATGTTTGCCAGAATCTTCATTCCGAAGAAACACCGGCAACGCTTTGACGAGGCCGTCTCCCAGAACGTGATCAACCGGCTCTGCCGCAGCAAGAGCATCAGCGAGCCGCACGGCAGAGTCCGACGCAGCCGGAGCGAGGATCACTCCGAGCGCCACCACGGGTCCAAACGGGCCAGCTCAGTGCCCAGGGATGGAGGGGAACCCGGAGGAAGAGGTGACACAGAGAGAGACAGAGGTATGAGGAAGTCTTCCTCTGGGATTCCAGCACATCCTCCAATCGGACCCAATCAGAGGTGAGCAGACTCCTGACCTCTGATGTGATGCTCTATGAGTCTGTTTGGCTCTTTGCAAGTGCTGCTTACTGCTTCACATACTATCACAGTTTTGAAACCACACTTGAGAAAAACAAAATCTGCGTACATAAGAAGAAACATAATAATAATAATGATGATAATGATAACAACCTTATTGATATAGCATCCTTCAAAACAACCATTACAAAGTGCTTCACAAAGAGGGAAACAAAATTGATTTAAATTGAATATTTTTATTTAGATTATTCAAATTATAACCTACCATATTGGTTAATCAGTATTTTCCATTTTGTCTGATCAATTCTTTATCTGTCTTCACCTATTGAGCATGTTAATTGCTGACTGCTGTAGAGACCCTGACCACTCGACCGGTCCGGCTCACCGCCTCCACCCAATGACAAGCTGATCACACCAATTAACAACTGCACAGTGGATTTAATGCAGGATTACACCAGTGTCAGGACACTGCCCACACCAATCTAATCTAATAAACCCTGAGGTCCGATCCACGTGGGAGTGAGAACATGGGGTCGAGTACGTCGACAGGTCGCACAACAGCAGCAGGGAGGATGATTGTGTGAAAAGAGAGAGAGAGAGATGCATTAATATAGAGAGATGGATAGAGAGAAACACATCAATTGAGAGAGAGAGAGAGATGGTTGATAGAGAGGTAGAAGGATGAAGAGAGAGAAAGATGGAAAGAGAGAGGGAGACCAATTGATACAGAGAGATATACAGAAGCTAGATGAATGGATGGATGGATGAATAAATAGATACATGTATAGATAGATAAATAGATAGAAGTATAGATAGATGTATAGATAGATAGATAGATAGATAGATAGATAGATAGATAGATAGATAGATAGATAGATAGACAGATAGATGACTGTTACTACTACTAAAAAACAGCCCATTAGTAAAGATAGTCTAAATCCATCACTATTGATTGGTAATAGTGTTTTAGTTCAGTGGTTGTAGCTGCAGTGTGATCATCTGAGTCTCAGTAGTGACTGACAGATTCCCTGGGGGCTGTTATGTAATATTTATCTCTATGTTGTGATGTTAAAGTATAAAGTGCAGCTGGTGTTGACCAATAACAAGTAAAGGAGGCCTTGATAGACTCAGTGTGGAGTTTGCCCCCCCCCCCCCCC